ATCCTTGCACATAAATCTCAGTCCAGATTTCTGTTTCCTTAGTACAGATTCTCAGAAGTAGAATTACTGGGTCACAGAGTGTAAACATTTTGAAAGGCTCTGTGGAGCAGTTTGAGCTGGTAGCAAAAATCTATTGATTCCCAGAAACTACCAAACGCAGAAATCCTCTCCAGTCTAAACCTGAACTAAGCAGTTAGACATACACACTGCCACTTTGACAATGCCACATCTAATTAGGTGTTTAATGAATGTTTTTTGTTGGAGATAAGGGAAAAAATGTGCAGAGTTCTGTAATTAATTAGAGGAAGGAAATAGGACCACTCCAGCTTAACTGAATCCTATTCTACTAACCCTACCAACTGCTATCTCTGGCAGGCAAACCAGGGCATCTTAACTATGGAGATCCCCCAAATGATCCCCAACCAGTTCTTGTGGGCTTACGGCCACCCCCTTATATCCTACAATTTTTCCTCATAAAAAGTAGTAAGGATGGTGAATTTTTCTATATGGATGTTTTCTTTTAATAAATGTGTACAAAATACCTTCATTGTGTTCACTCATTGACTAATCTCACTTAAACTTTTGTGATTACTAACTTGTTCCATTGTATTGGTCACTTTCCCATCCCTGGGACAAGATACTAGACATTTGCAACTGCAAGAAGGAGAGGTACAGGTACAAACTCCCAGTGATGAATATAATCATAATGTATACCTAAAATGTACCAATAAACCTAATGAATTTTAAAAAAGGAGCAGAGATTTATTTTGGTTCACAATTTTCAGAGGATTCAGTCCCAAGTTGGCTGGCTCCAAGCCAACAAGGGCAGGGTGGGAGAGCATGGTAGAGGAAATCTCCATCCATATTGGCCAGGAAGCAGAGAGCTAAGGGAGGAGGAGCTGGGGACAAGAATGCACCCTTCCAGGTCACAGCCCCAGTCCCTGCAAACAGTCCGCACCTCATAACAGTGCATTCAGCTATGAACTCATTAACAGATGAATCCACTGATGAGTACAGCACCCTAATCCAATCACCTTCCAAACACATGAGACTTTCAGAGGACATTTTAGATCCAAACCATAATAAACATTTATTTTAAAATTTTAAAAAGCATTATTTAGCTTTTAAAATATCATATTGTCCCTAGGATATTCATCACTTCAAGTATTTTGTTCTGTTGCTGTTTTGTGTCTTTAAATTAGGGATATATTCAATTCTATGGCAAAAAATAATTTGACCTTAAAAAGAAACTCCTTCCTTCCTGTAGTAGGAAACAGATTGCTTGTTGTCCAGAACTTCCCTATCATGAATTTAGAAGTATGCATATCTATATCACTTTGATGTTTTGTTAATGTTTCCAATCAATGTACTTTGAAATAAAAAGGTCCTTTGATATTCATTTTCATATAATTCTCCAGATGTTTTTCACCACATCTTAGTGATCAGAAAGGATATATGGAATTTCTATTCCCTATCTGTAATAGCTAAACAGCTATCATAATGTAAGTTACAGGGAGTTTTACTAAGAAGGACCTATTGTTTAGTTTCATCAATTGATGAAAGACTTTGATGTGGTGTGTCGGGAAGCTATTAAACATAAACTACAGTGCTTAATAAAAACATTTACCATTTTGTTATGTCAGAAGTTTACTTTTTATCGCTTCTCAGCCTTTTGGCTAAGATCAAGTATAAAAGTTCACTTTTTAAAAGGAGTATTTAACTCTCAAAATAATAAACAAAAATGCTATCTAACTTGTAAATTATTGTTATCTCTGGGGAGTAGAATTATGTTTTGGAGGATAATTTGCTGCATCGTCTACTCTGTAGATGTTCAGTAAGCAATAAAAAAATCAGTAAACAAAAAGTATCATTATGTTCAACAAGTATTTAAATGCAAGCTCTGCACCATGCATAACTAAGTGATCATTATGGAAAATTTGAAAGGTAAATATAAGGAAGACTTTGGGGATGTGCAGAAGAGAATAATAATGAATTCAATAATGAAAACATTTAAGCATCTGGAGGTTTTTAAGGTACTTGTGGACTGTGACAGTGTTGATTGGTTATTGGGCCTGCCCTCAGCCTCTGCTTCCTAGATCTGTGGTTCCTGCTGGATGCCTTGTGCTCAGCTGAACTCCAATTTGGCTTCTTGACTGGCCCTAACTACCTCTGACTGTAACTGAGTTTCCAGTACTAAACTGCAGCACAGCCAAGAGGATGTGGGGGCCCAGATCTTTCACATGCTGATAGTGGGAATGTACTTTGATACAAAGATTTTGGAAGACCTCATGAAAATATGTATTCAAAGCCTTAAAAATATTTGGGCTTGAAGATACACATCAGAATAGTGCTAACCTCTAGGATGGTAACTGGAGAGGGGGTTCAAGGGAGCCATCTGGGATGTTGGACAGTTTCAATATTATGGGTGGTGGTTACCTGTAATATTATATATGAATAAATATATGAAATGTATCAGTATGTATATTTTAATATAAGCATGTTGATTAAAACTTTAATTAATGATGTTTGGAACTTTTGAATCAATAATTCCACTGTATTGCTGTATCCTACAGTTAAAGATGCAAAGATTTAGTTCATTGTGTTATTTATAGTGTTGAAAAACTGGAAATCTCTAAGCTATCCAGGAACAGTGGATTGGTAAGTAAATGATGTTCTACTCACTTAACAGCCTAATACCAAAATTTCTTGGAAACACAGTGTTTGATAACTAGAGCAGACCACAAAATAGAAAACAGTAAAAATGGGTACCAGCGCTTGGCATCTGGTGCTGTGGTTATTTTCCTGGTACCCAAAGAAAATGGCCAGCTGACAGTGGGAACAGTACTGTGGTGCCGGTACTGAATACTAGGCATTGACCTAAGATGGGCACAACTCTGACTTCAATTAGGGAAGTATGAACTCTTCAATGTGCTCTATTATTTTGAAGCTCCTCTCTGTCCTTGGCCAACAAAGCCTGAAAACTGAGAGGTAGGTGGTAGTAACTAGGGTATAGATACAGTTGCTGAGAGATGTTCATATAGGTGCAATTGTGAATAATTGTGTGGTCACCATTTTAAATAAGCATATGTGCATGTGCATGAGTATATACTTGTAGACATTGTTCCTTTAGTCTGTATTCTCAAATTTGGAATCTGAAAGGTACTACGGTAATGTAACTAGTCAAATAGATAATCAAACTAAGGAGGTGATTGAGTGTTATGGCTACTCCCAGAGTAACTGTGTTAGAGATAGAACACCATCTGACATTTTTTCTAGTGGTCTGAAAGCTTCTGGCAAGGGCCCTCATCATTAGTTTCAAGAAGACAGAGAAATAGGCTGCAGCCTCATCATTTTCTAAAGTAAAAAGGCCTCATTCTGCCCAATGAAACCAGCATGGTATAGTAACAAGTTTCTATTTGGCTTCTTTCAAGGTCTGTAGCTTATTGGTTGCTCTAGAGGAGCCAAAGATCTCTAAAGAAGGTGCTAAACAGTCTTTTCTAGCCTGTATTAAAACCTCTTTCCACAAAGCTACTTTCACAGAAGCAAAGTAAGTTAATTATGAAGCCCTCCTGAGAAATCAGTGCTGGTTGCAGGAGTTGTTCACATTAAATACAAGATATTTAGGGAATGGGAAGAGGAAGAGATAAGTAAACAGTACTGAAATGCAATCATTGCGAAAGTATAAATATGGGATTTCTCTCTGCCTTTGCAGAGCTTATGGAGACTGATCCATAAGCTAAGCATACTTACGACATAAGCCTCTTTAATAGGAGGCATCTTGCTTTTATCTAGGATATATACCACAGATTTCTAAACCACATCTGTAGTGTCAGGCTGCTAATAATACTCAGAACAACATTAAACCTATGCCCTGAGATGCCCAAATTCTTCACAAAGGGCTTCTTTTTTTAACCTCCAGGAAACATCTTTTCTTCCCTTTGGAAGGTGGGAAAGGGTGAGGGTCCTTTGGTCCCATTTCCTTCCTGGATAAGGAAGCAAAGCTTCATAATAGATTAACAAGGCATATCGAGAAAGAACTATGTACTCTCCTTCATTTCATTGGTTCTAAGGAGAGTTTTATATTTGACTTGGCTTAGGTTTTGTTAGGGAAATAGAGAGACAAGGAACCATGTGCCATAGCAAGCAGAGTGTTAACCTGGGTGTCCAACAGATCTAGGTTCAAATCCCACCTCTGCTGCTTAAGAGCTGCATGGTACACAGGACATTTTCATCAGAGACTCACTTTCTTCATCTATAAAATGGGGTGATTGATAACTCCTCTTCTTCCACTGCATGGATGCTATGATGAAAAAATGAGATCCCTGATATAAAAGCACCTTGAACAAAAATGCAAATTGGGATGCTGGTGCAGAGTCATATTTACTTCAGCTGAATCTCTGTCCAGTTCTTAGGGGGCTCTTAGCTCTGGAATTCTCAGATCTGGTGAATAAGGTTGTGTTCCCTGTCTCTGTTTTTGCGTAATTTTATACACTCTGGTCACATCCCTTCTCAGCCTTCATCATTCTAGACTAAAGAGTGTGCATTTGTTTAATCTATTTTCAAATGGCAGCCTCCCCCCAACATCCTCTTGATTGTAGAGTGGCCCTTCTCTGGACCATCTCCAGCTCCATTATGTCATTCTGGAAGCATAAGACCAGACCTGCACAAGTGTGTGTGTGTGTGTGTGTGTGTGTGTGTGTGTGTATGTGTGTGTATCTCTGTTCCCCTCCCCAATTATAAATCCTAGAACAGGATGACTGTCCAAGACCCTCTTTCCAAATTACAGAGAAGGCATGTTGGCCCCAGGCTGAAGCTTCCTTCTATTTCTCCCCGCAGCCCTGGCCCCAAGGGGCTAAAACGGCTCCCTGTCTGGCTTGGGAGGCTGGGAGGTGGATAACTAGGATGGGGAGGCTGAGGGAGGGGGGGTCTTGCGCAAGCGCATGTCCCTGCACAGACCGCCAATGCTGCTGCTGCCTCCAGGAGGAGAGGGAGGGAGGGAGAAGAGGGGAAGGGAGGGGGAGGCGGCACTTGGGCTGCAGCTCTCTACCAGAGGCAGTCTCTCTCAGCTCTCGGAGGGACCCGGAGAGGTTACCGCGGAGTAGGATGGTCTGCGGGGCTCCCTGAGTCAGGGCCTCTTAAAGCAGCTTCGGGGACTCGGGCGACCGGGCAGCTTTCACCATGCATCAGTCCCTGACTCAGCAGCGGTCCAGCGACATGTCCCTGCCCGATTCCATGGGTAAGTCTAACCGCCTTTCCTCCCGGCGGCAGCGGCAAGGAGTGAGCGCACTGCCCTCCACACTGCGTGCGCCCCTGCCATCTCCAGAGCCAGAGAGCGGGAAGCGGGTCTAGGGGGTCCGCGTGCCCCAACGTCTGGGTGGCGGGCAGAGCCCTAGGGGAGCGGCCCAGCTGCGGCGCGGGCGACGCGCGCCAAGCTAGGGTCGGAGTATCTCTGCCCCGGAGTGCGGATGTGTGCGTGTTTGTATGAGTGTGTCTACAGGACTTGCAGCCAGTGGTAAATCCCAGCTGTCTGGGGATCAAAACACTTCCCTTCAACCTGCGCCTTCGCTTTTCATTCGACGCTCCCTCTTCGCAAAGTCCTCTTCACTTCTAAGAGCTCACGACTAAGGACGATTGGAAGAAGCGGGATCCTCGTCCCTTCTCAACTCCGTAGAGCTGCAATGGTGGGGCAGCATGGTTCGCACCTCGCTGATGGGGGCTTTGCGCAACTCTGGGGGATGGGGGGGCAAAATGGGGAGGAGAGTTGGCGGGAGGGGAATTCCTGAGGAATCGCTCAAGACAACCCGACCCTACCATCTGCAGCGGCAGGATCAACATTCCTTGAATTTGACTCCTATTCCGTTCCAAATGCGCGGAATGTGCCTGAGTGTGAAAGGGGGGTGGGGGGGAGTGAGAGCGCGAGAAAGAATATCGAGCGCGAGCCCGCGCATCTCCTGAAGTCGTGCTTTTCCTCTGCGAGTGGAGTGGAGGGGGAGGGGCACCTTCCTACACCTTTCCACAGCAACTCAGGGACTGCTCCCCTCGAGAACCAACTTGCCTGTCCCTCGACGCTGCTTTTCGGCAGTTGCAAACCAAAAACAAACTCAGCGCCCCTCAGCCATTAGGCACCTTCCCAAGCCCCATGATTTCAAAGGGCGGAGAACTTAATCTGGAGCCCAGGAGAGCGGGAGGGGATAGTCAAATCTTGATTCCACCGAATCTTAAAATTCACCCCTCACGTACTTCAACCAAATCGAATTCTCTCTTGCCAACATATTTTACATTCTGCAACATCTCTTAGACCCGAATTCCTGTTGTCCAGTCTGCTCAGGTCATCTACGATGAATTTGCGGGAACATCTCGAGGGAAAGGGGCTAGAAGATTGAATCTCCTATAAGAGCTCCCTATTGCTTGCAAAAGACTCAGTGTCAACAAAATTTGTTCGCGCAAGTGGCACCAGAAAGTATTATCTCCTGGACAGTGGAAAGATCCACATTCTCAATAGTTTTTCATATTCAGCACAAGAATTTACTTTTCATTTTTAGGGACGTAGTTATTTGCAACAGGGTCCAAAGAAGGCAAGAACTCGGTCCGAATCCAGAGCCCAGCGGCACTAGATTTCCTCTTTCGCTGTCACGCGCACGAGAGCACACACACACACACACACACACACACACACACACACACAAACACACCTCAGAATGCACTCCTTACCTTGGCCAGCTGTGGCGCCAGCGCGGCCTTGGCTTCCCAGCGCTAGGCTGTTGCGCGGGGGAGGCTGGGTGGAATAGTACCAGGGTTCCGCAGAGACATTCCCGCTGCTGACAACCACCTGCAGACCAAGCCTCCTGGCCGCGGCCCGTCTGACTGCGCAGAGTGGACAGACTGGAGGCTCAGGACGTTCAGGGTTGCTATGTGACACCCTGTGGGTTGGGGAAGAGAGGAGAGAGTTCTTTCCTGGACTCGAAGGGGACCCCAGCCAATCTTGCATTTGTCTGCGCAACAAGCTGAGTGGGCTTCGCCCAATCTCGATGCTGCGGGAAAGGAGCCATAGAGCTCAGGCAGACTCTGAACCGGCACGCATCACGCGGTCCGCTTTTTAAAGTCCGCAGACCCACGGCACACGCAAATTCCTGACTGTAGTGGTAACCCTAGGTTTCCTCAGTTTGGACTGGGGAGTCCTCCCCGGAGTTCCCTGGCACTGGTCCCACACTGTCCAGGCCTGAATCAGCGTCTCGGTTACATAGGGACTACTCCCATTTAGCTCTGGCAAGCCACCTGACCTTGCTTGCGTGCAGGCTGAAGAGTGAGTGGGTGGCTTATTGTTTCAGCCTCCAAGCACTTTTTGGAGGGAGAGTCTCTTTACAGTCAAGACACAACCGCAGCCAAAACAATAAAATTTAAAACACACACTGCCCCAAGGTGCCTGTACTGTACGTTTGTTAGCTGCCTGGGAGTGAACGGTTAGTCCAAGACTCAGAGCTGAGCAAGCACTGGGCAATTATGAAGATGGTAATTTGACTCGTGAGCCCCTCCATTCCCTCCCAGAAACCCCTCTCTCCATTTTGGCAACACTGCCTCCAGGCGCCAAGATAACTCTACTACAGCAGGGCATTCCTTGCTTCCCAAATAACACGTTTGTAGTTCACCTGAAGGTCTCAGATGTCTCCATTCAAAGAACTGACTAAAAGGATGGTGGTAGTGGCTTTCAGTGCTTTTAAGAAAATGTTTGGGAGATTGGCAGTAGTTCCACGGATGGTCAAGATAGGAACTTCCTGGGATCCACCCTGTGTGATAAAGCTGACACAGGTAAGCAAATCCTAATCAGTTCAAAAGATCAACTCAGAGAATTAGCCACCAGTCACCAACAACTCGATGTACAGAACAGGATACTGGGCCTTCACCCTTGCTGCACACCTTTAAAGATTACACATTTTACTCTCTTGGGAGGGGACAATCAAGAACATGTGCAAAATAAAACACAAGTGAGCAGAGATAGCATTCTGTCTTCTAAGCAATCCACATCTTGGTTCCTGTCAGATGCATATTCCTGGAACTGGTGGACATCATTATGGGTTGTGGACCAGACCCACAGTTACAGTTGTAGTAGTTACAATTAATATACTAATTGAGTAAAGTGTCTAGGAACTTAAGGACACGGTATAATGAGTGAGTCCACTGAGCTTGATCAAATAAATCTTCTTGGAGATGAATTTTGAGCAGGTTGCAAATAAAGGGAGAGACTCAGATTCAAAGGTGAAAATGAAGGTAGGGTCTCCGATCGAGGGGTAAGACCAGAAAATGGGGAACCTTGCAGAGATAGAAAGTAACTAGATTCCTCTAGAGCTGTGAAGTATCCTGGTCTCCATGATTCTGGGATAGGGGTGGGGCACTGCAGAGAAGGAGGGCTGCGGTAATTCTGCAGGGAGGCTTCTGGGGGTGGGTGGGGGTGCAGGTGATGCCAGTGACAAGATTTCAGATTCCCACGGTTGTTGGTTGCAGAAGTTGTTGTTTAAGTAGATAATATACTGGGCACCAAGTAAATAAAGTAGTAAGAGATATTGGGGCTGTGACACTAGATGGCCAGAAAGCTTTCAGTTCTAGGGGGCTCTCAGATCTACTCTAGTTTTAAAACTCAATTCTGTGACCATAGGCAATGTTTATTCATGCAATTCCCTCTACAGTCTTTTTTTAATAAGAAGAGAAACAATTCTGAGATGTTCCTTGTTTATTCAACAAGTACTGATTGCTTCCAAAGTTGTAAAAGTGTGATAGGCACAGTTTTCAAGTACCTGCTGTTTTTAACTAGCTCATGGTGTCTGAGTGTTTTGATGTCTTGATTTACTAAACAAAACAGGAATAATATTGCCATACGTTCACCAGAATATCTAGGGAAAACCCTGAATTGCATCCTAATTAAAAACAGGGAAAATGTCCTAAGCAGCAGCAATAAGCTGCCTTTTAAGATTCCAGACTATACCTTCAGAGAACCTACAGGTATATTTTAGTTTAAGTAGATGTGGATTTTATTGAGTCAAATTGACATTGAAGATAAATTGAGTACTAATTCATCACTTTGAAAGGATTTACCCAAGAGTTCTTTAAAAATAGTTAACTCCTCAAGTGCAGCTAGAAATCATTTCATTTTATAAACAGTAATTATGGCCCTTGTAGTATAAACTAAGGTGTGAGGGGACAGAGAATAGACGTTCAACCTAGTGATGGGAGAGTTTTCTTAGCAATTTTATTCAAAGAAAATCCTATCTGGAGGCAAGGCCCTTGTGGGGCTGTAGGATCTTGGGGTTTCTCAACTGACTGAATTTTCAATTCAGGTTCTAAATAGATTTTCAAATAACACCATGTGGTTTGCTGAGTCACTTTTCTGACCTGGCTCTTGTGCTTTTGAGATTTAGAGTGATATTTGCAAAGAAGACTCAAGAGCTGTGAATAAGATTAAAGGTTGGTGGGGAAGGCACAGGTGTGGGTTAAGCAAATAGTTTAGAAAGACCATATATATATATATATATATATATATATGGTCTTTCTAAACTATTTGCTTAACCCACACCTGTGCCTTCCCCACCAACCTATTTTCCAATTTGGGGCATGGGAGGTTTAGAGATCCTGCAAAAGTGACAAAGGAAAAAGGAAGACAAGAATGGGAGGTGGTGTTGGTAATTTTATGTCAGACTCCTTCTGTGGAGCCAACCCACATTGTTACTAAGTATGTATTATCAAATAGACTTAGGACTCTTGGTTTAGTGATTAATTTAGAAGTGAAATCCAGAGGAAAGATAACTAACCTGCAGGTAAACAGATGAAATAAATAGTTTACCTAACCCCTGTTACCTTGCAGGCTCTAGGCAGTCCGAATCACTAGCTTTGCTCATCCAGCTTTCTGCCGTTCCGCTTGCCATTTGTATCCCCAATAGCCATCTCACAGAAAGGACCTGGTGTCCAAGATGTCTCTGGGCTTTTCCATCGTTCCCCACAGAGGCTGGACTCAGGTCTCCCTGGAGAAAAGCCTTATTTCCCAATTCTCTTTACCTATCTCTCAGGGTTAGACTGGTGCTTTGCTATGTGGGTGCCTAGATATGATCAAACTACATGTACATTTCTATGTGAAATAGTCTTAGAGTAGTACTGAATTAGAAGTAACCGTGATGAGTCACGTCCCTTACTTTATAGGCTGACATCAGGGGAGACCGCCAGCCCCTCCCACTTCCCTTGGAGGTGATCAGATGGGGAAGGCAAGATCCATGGTGGGGCTAACACAGGATGGAAGTCCTGACACTTTTCTTTCATACAGGAGGGACCATCTGCAGGGTGCTGCAAGGCCAAACATCGCCCCCATCACTACCAGGCCTCCTGGTTTTCTCTATTCCTCCCCTTCCTTCCTTTCCTCTCCCTGCCCTCCTAGTGGTGCAGTTTGGGTAGCTTCTGTCCCCTACTGATTCCTAAGACGGCAGCAAGGCCTCCCAGAACGACTGGGTCTAATGAAGAGACCCGGGGGATGTCTTTAAGGCCATAAATGACAGTCAAGCCACCTGGGTAGGTGACCCCATCCTAAGGCTCCCCACTTCTCCCCTCTCCTTGTTCTCCATACCTCCCCAGAGAATTGGGCTCTCAAGGCACTCTCCATTTGATTATCCTGACCACTCCAAGCTCAAGGAGGTAGCTCTCCCCTAGTATTTCTTATTGAAGAGCTCTTCCTCATGCCAGAAAAATGCCTGCAGAGTGTGGAGTGGTGCTCTATTCCTTTAAAAAAATTAAATTGAAAATTGAGCTGAGATACCATTTTTCTATCTGACTTAATAGGCCCGTTTTCAGGAAAAAATATTGGTTTGCGCTATCATGTCTGATAAGCTCTGAGTAGGAGAATGAGTTTCTCATCATTTATATTTATGTCACCCTCACATAAGCCTAAATGTGTATAAGTTATAATCCTTCCCATCTACCTCCCCCGATACATATCTTTGTGGACTAATGGCCTCCAAACACTTACTTTATTACACCCATTTGTTATGTGACAGATCTTGCCAGCACACCATTTTAAAGTTTACACATGAGGTGGCAAATATCAGAAGTAAATGAAAAAAATATCCCAGTACCTGGCTTGGTTCTGATATTTACACTAAAAATGAAATTTCCTATCTCTAGATTATGAAAAAAAAACTTCTTAGTTTCATAATGGCTCTAAAATGTATTTATTTAGTATCTCCACACAAACTCTTCCCATTCATCATATGCCTTATAATTTGGCCTAAAAACACTCTGTTAAGTGGGTATGACACATCTTTTATACAATGCCAAAAGCACAAATTTTTTTTGTTTTTATGTAACTGGTGAAATTTCTTCTGTTGTTTATTTTCAAACTGAAAACATTTTTATTATAAAAGAGGCACCCATGACTGCAAAAACAGAAGCTCCATATCTCCCCATAATTCCATTCCCTAGAGAGAACCTGCCAGTTGCCAGTAGGTGTAGGAAAGAAAACCCTTCCTAATAATTTTTTTACAGTTTCTTCTTTCCCTAGCTGATATGAGCAATTTCATTTTTTCTCTGTGCTTTCAGGTGCCTTCAATCGGAGGAAACGAAATTCCATCTATGTCACCGTGACTTTGCTTATTGTTTCCATGTTAATTCTCACGGTGGGTCTTGCTGCAACCACCAGGACCCAGAATGTGACTGTTGGAGGTTATTACCCAGGAGTTATTGTAAGTACAGAAGGCTTACGTACGACTCTGTAGCTTGCTGGCTGCAGAGATTCTGGCTCCACCTTGATGTTTTTCAATTCTGTTTGAGTTTGTAGTGTTTATTCAGATTTCCTCTTCGGGCTCTCTTTATTTATATAGAAAGGCAACTCTGGTCTTGTTAAGAAAAGAACTGCACTGAGACTCACAAGAATCTCAGTGCCATCCCTAACTAGAGTGATCTTCAACGAGTCATTTTATTTTTTTAGTACCTTGGCTTTCTGGTTTAAGAGATGTTCCTAACTAGCAGTGTTAACTTCAGGCTAAGGTCCTTTCTTTCTAGTCATCTGCTTTCCTATACATGGTAGAGGTCGTCTGACCTTACCTGAAATCCAAGGATCCTGGCAGTTTGACATCCTGTAACCAACAGCACTGATCTCCTAAATGCTCCTGTGTTCCTATCAGGAGAAAGGTGTGGGAGTTGCACTCCTAAAACATGTATATTTATTCATTGATTTAAAAGTGAGTGTTCATAAAACTTATACAAAAATGAAAATTCAAAAATTCGATGAAAATGAAATCATAATTTTTAACATTTCATAAAATGAACCAAAATGTTACAGGGTTGTATGCACTTAGTGTGAAGTTTGTCATTAAAGATAGTGGCTATAAATCCTTATTTCAAATGACCCAGTAAATCACTGGGGATACTTTTGGCTGGTTTCTTATTAGATATGATTAGATTGTCATTGGAGTCATCGTTTTGTTGTTGCTGAGTCTCCCAATGTGCCTGACAAAAAGTTCACCCTGGGATTTAGAAGTACTGACTCTGCCACTTTGCCATTTTCTTGCTGCTCACTTGTGTGTACATTATTAAGGTCATCTTCAATGTGTGACTTTCACAGGAGTCTCTCCAAGCCTCTTGTCCCTTTAGCTGGAACTACTTTAATTAAAACTGGATAATACAGTCCAGGTAAGACATAAAATGACCTGCCATCAACCCGTGCTGCATGGAACTCACCCTCTCTCCGAATGATAGCTCACTTGATCATCCAACATTTGCACTAATGGTGGATGCCAGCGATAGTCCATTTATTGAATATTAGTAACACTTAATTTCTTTTTCTTTTTCTAGATAGGGTCTCACTATGCAGTTTAGGTGGGCTTCGAACTCAGTACATATCCCAGTCTGGCCTCAAACTCACCGTGATCTTCTTCACTGCTGGGATGACAGATGTGTGCTACCACACCTGGCTTTTCTTATTTTAGATGAACAATAAATAGGAAACAGATGTTCTAATGGTTTCTTGTCATATTGCAGTTGTTTGTTTTACCCACACCTGGAGTGCATGCAATCCATTTTGGATATGGTTTAAATTCATTGGATTAAAAAAACTTCATTTGCCAGTCTGGGCAGCACAGGGAAACCCTATCTCAAAAACAAGAACAAAAACCACCCTCATTCAAGTTTATGGACACTGCTACTGAATCCAAAAACCTAACTCTGGAGGTTGGATCATGCTTTTAGTATTAACTAAATGGCTCCCCGGTTGTAATTTCTAAAGAACAGAAAGGAAGTTTCGGACAGTTCTGTCTTTCTATTAAGACAACAAAGAGCTAAGATTATTTGTTATTATTATTTTGTCCCCACCCCTCTCTCTTTTGAGAGAAGAGAGTTGGAGGAGTAAAGGGTAGAGAAGGAAATCAGAGACTATGCCTTTGACAAGCTAGCACTGTACATGATCAAGTCTAAAGTGTGCTTCTTGGTCACCAATTCTATTCCGTAGTCAGCCTCTTCAGTAGCCCTTGTGAAACTGGGCCCTGGTGTGGGCTGTCTGGGCTGTGTCAATCAAGAGCGGAAGGCTGCCTAGGGAAGTTCTTTTCTTAGCTTTTGGGCAGGAAGGGCACCCCTACCCCCAAGTCGGGGGCAGGTATCCCACAGACACCCGTTGGTGTTCAGTGCCCTCTGTTAAACATGTGATGTGAAAACACACCCAGTCCACTTCCTGTGGTGAGGCAAGAAAACCAGTAGTCAGCAGAATTGGGTTTATTTTTAAACACAAGCAAAGGAGCAGGGAGGAAAAGAGGGGTTAAGAGAGCAGTTTGGTGGCTTAGAGCAGCAATTTATAGGGTCTGTGTGACTTTGTGTGCTTCAGGTAGCTGCATTAGTGAAATATTTCTGACTGATGAGCAAATGCTCAAGCCAAGATTCAGTTTCTATGGGTGAGGGGAGGGTATTTTCCATGTCATTTAAGAGTACAAACTCCTATTCATGAACAGTGCCTGTGAACCTTCTCTGTAAAATACCTGACTGTGGGTGGCTAGGTTGGAATATGGTAACAAAGGAAGGAGGGCACATGATTGTTGCTACTCAAGTACCTGATGTTCAGCTAGCACTGAAAATTGAAGCAGAGGGGGCGTGTGTCTGTATGCATGGGTTTCACTGAAAGCTAGCATGGAAGTGTTAATAGGAGAGCCACCCTGAGTGGACAGTGTGCCTCTATGGTTTAACCTGTAGTTTTTTTTTCTCCTTATAGTTCCTATAGATTGTTTCTTTACAATTGGTTTAAATGAAAGAAAATGAAGGCGAGAAGACAGCAGATTGAAAAGATGAAAAATCCTTTTGAGTTTATAGGTCAGATCATGTTATAACAAATACAATTAGGACTCCTGTCTCTGAAACAGTAAACATCTGAGAATACAGATTTGTCTGGGAAGGAGTGCTTTCACTAAGTGGATAGCATGGCTGTTAGGGGTTACCACATAAACTCTAAGGCAATAGTTGTTCCCACCCAGGTGAGAATAAGAATGGCCCGGTGAACTTCTGAAAAAGGTAGATCTCTCCCACCCCAAGGAATTCTGACTCTGGGTGGGCCGTATGAATCTGAATTTTTTTTTTCATGAGCTAATCTTTGGTTGAAAAAGTAATACATGTTAAATCTACATTTTATTTGCTTTTGAGACAGGGTATTGCTATGTAGTTCAGGCTAGCCTTGAATTCACTATGTAGTACAGGCTAGCCTCAAATTTGAAGCACTCCTCCTACCTCACCCTCCCAAGTGCTGGGATTACAGACATGGGCCACCATACCGGCTATATCTACATTTTAAGAAGTATCCCAGGGGACTCTAATTTAGGTGCACCAGCAATCACCTGGATAAATAAAACATAAAAAATATGCTTAGCAATAAAACCAGAAGGAACATAACGTGCCATTTTAAGATTCTGTACTGTCAAATCAGTCCCTCTGAATATAAATTACCATTATAGAGATCTGCAAAAACATTTCAGGTTATTTGGAATTCTGATGTGTTGGACTCTGGTTAAACGTGTTAACAATACATGAGAATTTAAATTTTCAAAACAGACAAATTAGGGAGAAGTTATGCAATCGATTGTATAGACTTACTACACAATTCATTTAAATACTGAGCTCTCTGGCATTTAAAATATAATTAATTCAGTTTGCTTAACTCTGTGTCATATGAGCCTTTGCAGGATATTTCTATTTTGCCAAACCAGATGCCCTTGTACAGTAAGGTACATGTTTGCTACTCTAATTAAACTGGAAGGTCAAACTCTATATCATCATTCTAACACATGTAGGCACACATGCATCTTTAAAACATGTGCTACTCTGTACAGGTCAAACCTTAGCTTTTAAAAAATTAAAGCTGGCAAAGAAAGACAAACTGGCTTAAGATTTTTACTGTTCCTGAATGTTCAAGACATATTTCATTCCAGAAGAGTTCTGGTGAGTTTTCTACTTAGAAAGCCTAAAAATCCAAGAACCTTGGTTGTTGCACAAATCTGAAAACTTCAGGTGATTTTGCATGGATCTAAAAACAGTGGTGAGGGAAGTTGTTCCTTCCCTCCAAACTTCCTCTTACCTCAGATAGAGAACAAGGCCTCCAGATATGTTTCCCAAGCAATGCACAAGATGATCACTGGGGAAAGCCTTTCATCCTGGTATCCTCTCCTCCCATGTTGCACTGTTAGGATCCATAATGGCCTGAGTTTTCTTTCTCCTCCACTTCTTGGAGGGTAGGGTTCAGATGATTGAAAATCACTTCAGAATAAGAGTATGCTGTTAGAAGACAGAGAGAACAGGGATAATTCCAGTCAGGAATCTAGAAATCTTCTCTAGGCCACAGTGACTTCAGCTTTACATGTAAACATTCTTTCTTCTTATTGCAAATGTTTCTAAAATCTAAATTCCTTCTAAAATCTAAATTCCTAATTTAATGAGTACATTTTAAAGTTGAGACTTCAATCTTGATTTGCTGGATAAGACTTTTATAATGCCACCAGTTTCTAACTTCCATTGGCTCCCTGTTGCCTCCTTAGCCCGCCATTCAGAACGCTCAGCACATGCCCTCAGCCTGTTTTCTCATTAACTTCTCTTTTGCTAAGATTGTCACAGACCCCTGAACATGCCTTGGGTTTTTCTGCCTTGATGCAGTCATTTGTACCCCTCCCCAAACGTCCTCCCTGTGGTCTCTCTATCTAAACACATTCTGCTCCATTTTAACATACATACAGACACAGCAAGAACATTTCTCAGCCACTGGGGTTTACAGTGGTGTCTTACTATAGATTCCTCCTACTCATGGTTCTTGAAAAATTCTCATATTCTGCTTTGTGATATCGGTTGGCCCATATTCTTATTTAGCTTGGTTTATATGGGTTCATAGTCTCTTATCTGAATCACTGGGCCACATATGATTCAGAATTTAGACTATTTTTGTTTTTAGAAATATTTTACAGTACATATACCATATATTACCTACTACTCCAGCAGGGCCTTGAGAAGCACCTCATAATAAGATATCTTGATATTTCTGCAATGAAATGTGAAGTTTTACATGAAGTGGGATAATGATTATAAAGTAATATCACATCAGTTCAAGGTCAGGCTTTACTGCCAAGGTAGTTACCAGAAAACCCTTTTGGTTTTATGAGCTTTGTGAATTTCGGGATTATGGAAAGAGACTGTGAACATCGTTCTTGGTGTCAGATCCCACCCCAATCCTTGCCTCCAAACCACAGATCCAACACTGCCTGCCATAGAATAGGTGTCCAAATGATACTTACTAAATGAATAATCCTTCTGAGCCTCACTCCTGGGTGTCTGGGGCAGTGGATGAAAATAGGCAGAGATAATGAGGTCCAGTCCAAAAAGAGCCCTTGAATCTAACTTTGATTTCTAATTATTTGTCTTTTTTCCTCAAAAAGTGGGAGGAGGCCAAAAAGAAGTAAACTGGCTATTTGTTCAGGTAGTAGGGAATCATGATGGAGGTCCAAAGGTCAGAACATTACATGATTCCATGAAGTTCTTTTTTTTTTGGTACCGGAGTTCGAACTCAGGTCCTTTTGCTTATGAGGCAGGCATCAGAACCACTGAGCTAAATCCCCGGCCCTCCATGAAGTTCTTGATCAGGGACCAGAGAGCTGATATTTCTTAGGTCTCAGGAGGGAAAACAGTTGATTAGAAGCAGCTGCCCATTTTCAGGAAGCTCTGTTGGTTCCCTTCTTTATTTCCAACCCTTCAGCTCTATCCCAAGTAGCACTCCTCCATCCTTGCAGAGAACTTCTTCCCTAGGGGGCAATGATGAGGTCCTTGTTACTTGACGGTCACTAACACTGGCTGAAATGGCTGCTAGGTATGGCTGTAAGAACACCCCACAGGGATAGTTCTGGCCCTGCTATTAACTTTCTCCGAGAATAGGCGAGTCCTTATATTTCTGTAGTCTACCATTTTCTTGTTTAACACATTGGAATGATACTAACTTTGCCAAACTCCAGAATATTCCTTTGTCTAAAACAAAGAGCAAGTGCTTCTTTAATTTAAAAAGCTTCAAATAGAGTCTTTTTAGTGATCAGTGAGTTCATCAACTTGTCATTCGTTAAGTGAATTTTTCCAGCTATGACTCAATAGATACTATTTATCTGTCTACTGAGCTCTGCCTATCCTTTGAGCCACAGAAAAATGTCTCCTCCTCTTTGAAACCTTAAAGCATTTATTTAGCAGCCTACTTCATGCAAGACATGTCATTTAATTCTCACAGCAGCTCGATGTGGTAGAAGCTCTTATGATGCCCACAGATCAGGAAAGTGAAGCACAGAGGATAAAAGACCGGCCCAAGGCCACACAGTTTATAAGTAGCAGAGCGAGAGATATAACCCAGAATAAATTATTCTCCATTCCTATAGCACTTTGTTTTAACCTCCCCTGTGGTCTTTAACCCAGTCTGTTTCTCCCTCACAAAACTGTAAGCTCTCTTAGAGGGCAGGGGACATGTATTCTGATACATTTGACCTGAAGGTACTCAGTGAATGTTGGAAAACTGAATAGACTGGAATGGAATGGAGTGGGGCGGAAGTGGGGTAGGGAAACTGGATGAAGTAATTGGATGGCCTGGTATTTCCTCTTCTGGAGTATGTCTTTCTAGTCAGTTCCACAAGGGCTAGCCCACTTCTTCCAGTCACTGCCATCAGTTATTTGAAATCATCAGAAATAGCTAGTGCCTTTGCTTCCTGTGTTAGGGGAAAAGTGCTGTTGGGGTACAGGAGACATTCTGTGAATATCTGTGGAAGCTAATGAACTGTTTGGTAAAAGACTTATTTTCCATGTAAGAGACTGCATATGAATTTCTACACATGCCCACAAGTGGCCCAGAGTGTCCTAAGCACAGACTATTCATGGAATTCCTCCTGAATAATAAAAGCTGTGGCACATACTGGAGGGAGAGATAAGACAGAACAGAGAAACTCTCTTGTTGTGAAATAGAGTAAATGATGATAAGATTTTCCAGCTCAAATTGAGGTGGAGTTGTTCAAAAGTTAAATGTCTTTAAAATAGTAATAATAATATTTTGAGCAAAGTAATGTTTACTGAGTAATTACAGTGTCCCAGGCACTGTGCAAAGTTCTTTAAATGTATCATCTTGGTTAATCTTCACAAAAGCCCTATATGCTAGCCACTTCTAAGGTCCCTGCTTTATAGAAGAGAACATAGGTTTAGAGAGGTTAATCACTCTGATTAAGGTTGCACAGACAAGTAAAGAGCAGGGGTTGGAAGCCAGGTTAGTGTGATAACCAGATTTTAATTAGTTCACCTTATAGCAACACATTTTAATTCGATTTGAAATAAAATCAGGTGAGAGACAGACATAGTTGAAATAATGAATGAAGATCTTCTTAGTAGATTTTGGATGGCATGGGATATAGCTTCATGAACTTCAGCCTCTGTGTCCCAAGAGTGATTGTTGGCTGAGTGGCTGGCTCTGCAGAGGAGTCCTTGGAAATTTGCATTGATTCTTGCCTTTCATCCTCTTTTGTTGTTATTGCTGTTTTCTTCGTGTGTGTGTGTGTGTGTGTGTGTGTGTGTGTGTACATATTGGGGACTGAATCCAGAGCCTTGCACATGCTAGGCAAGTGTTCTACCAGTCAGCTACATTTCTACCCTTTAACTTAATTGTATTTTAGTTTGACAGAGAGTCTCACTAAGTTGCCTAGGCTGACCTGGAACTTGCCATCCTCCTTCAGCCTCCCGAATAGCTGGTATCACAGGCAGGCACCACGTAGTCCAGCCATTCTCTTTCATTTTTAGGGTCCTACATTGCTCCACCCAATCCAGCCCTAGGGTTCATCAGATATTTAAGCCTGGATATAAGGTTTTCAGCCTTGGACTGAAGTGAGTTGAGGAAAGCTGCTGATAGAAAACTAGACTCTCAGTGAGGCTAAAGAGAAATGTAACAACATCGCTGAATTTGTGTTAAGATTTATTGATCCATTCTCACCACTTTTTACTCTTCCATTTTCATCTCCATCAATAGCTATTGGTTAGTGATCATTTTTAGTTGAGACTGGCAGACTCAATGCACTAATGGCAAAACCGAGAGGACAGTGAAATCTGCTCTACTGAGCCACATTCACAGCCACTTAGACAGGGAAATTGTTTTTCAGGGTTTTACACTGCCATTTCTGTCCACCCTTTAATGAATGTTTTCTGTCCATAAATGAAGCAGAGATGGAAGAAGAGGTGAATAACAAAAATTGCAATGGGTCAACCACAAATACAGGCTTTCAGAAAAGTTTTCTTTATTTTATTTTTTTTAGAGTGGGTTAAGGTGCTTGCTGATTTCTAAAGTACTTCCTGAGTTTGATTAGATGTATCAAAAATTGCTATTGCAAACTTGTATTCTGTAACCCATGCATCAGAGAGGGAGGTCCTTTTCAAAAACAGATAAAGATCAGAATATAATGTGTGCTTTTCACCATTATATTCTTCTTACTGACTCACCAGTCTCATGTTAGGCAATGGATATTGAAATTGAAATTGACAAGCTCCAGAAAGCAATAGTTGACCTGTACTTTTAGTTTTTGAGCATATGAGGTTTTTTTCAAGGTATGATTCATTGCTACAAAGGAAAATTGTCAAATGATGAGCAAAAATACTTTTACTGCATTTGTGTAAGTAACTACACATGGTTTAGCATTCCTACTCCAGTTCTTTTCATCGTCTGAGTCACATCCAGGAGCTGGAATGCTTGTGTTGTCAGGCTGACTATCTTTCCACATTCCATGTTTGCCATGTTGCCTTGCAGCTCGGCTTTGGATCATTCCTTGGAATCATCGGATCAAACCTTGTTGAGAACAAGAGGCAGATGGTAAGTTTTTATCTCCACAGAGTCAAGTTCTTTATCTGAAAAAGCTCAACATTTATGTGGATAAGTAACAGAGCTCTTAAGTTTCCCAGAATTTGGCCATGGAAGAAATTGCTACTTTGCATTTTTTGCTAAGCCTCCAGGGAATTTGTTTTACAGCAAGGGTGCAGTATGGGACTTTCATCTTGCCTGATGCTTCCTTACTGGCCTAGACAGTCTCCTAAGGCCATGGGGATAGAATATTCTGGATGTTGCCCTTTGCTTTCCTCCTCACTCCCAAAGGAGTGCTCCAGCCTGTCCAGTCAGATTGTTGACCTTGCCTGGAATTTCTATGCTTCTGTGATTTCCATTACTGCAGCCCTGAATTATTGGTGAGACTCTGTCTTTCTGGGAAGTGTTGGCAGAAGATTTTTGCCTTTTAGATTACAACGTAGGGGACTTTGATTAAGATAACAAATGTACTTGGGATTCAAAAAAATAAATAAATAAAATTGTGAAGGCAACCTTAAGTAGCCCCATTACCCATAGTTCAAAGCAAAATATGTCCTAAGGTTGAAGGGAAAATTGAACATATTAAAAAGATGAAGCCTATACATTTCAACTATCCTAAAGGGGTCCCCCAAGGACAAGCTGTTGTATTTTCCTGGTTCATTCTGAGCTTTCCTGGAGGGGAAGGGTAGAAGGTACGGACTAAATTGCAAGCAGATTGCAGTTTTAGAGACTTGTAAATCAAGAACCCTGGTGAGAGGTCAGATGGTGGACTGTTTAGGCTTTCCAACTACAAGTCTCTATGGCATCCAGACTCTGATAATGGGGTCTATTTAACAGCAAGTTTAATCAGATAATGTAATAGCTCCAGGGACACAGAACTCTAACCATATGTTTTCTTTCAGCAATATGGGGAATCATCCTCAGGGGAGTTCTAATAGTTTTCTTCTTCCATTTCACCTGGACTCCCCCCAACCCCTTACCCCTGCCAGTTGTGTTTGCATTTTGATCTTAAATTATTCAGAATAATGGGGGAGTTTTAATTGTAGGACTGATCATAGCATAGCTAATAATGCCAACTTCATGACATCGTTCATCCATTATTTAGCAATTCTCTGTAGTGCTGTTAAGTAAGATTTATGGAGAGAGGTTTCTGAACAACTCCCAAAGGAGATTAAATATTTCCTCCTAGCCTGTTGAAGTGGGAGAACCCTAGGGTGGCCTTGACTTTGATTTCTTCCTTCTCCTTGGAGAGTAGCTGGATGCCATGTTCTTTCCTCCTCTTTCCCTCAAGAAAATTTAAGAAAGATGATGATGATGGGGTCAGGTAGCAAACACCTTGGAACACCTGTGTCCCCATACACTGGGTTGTAGTATCACTTTTGTAATAGATTAGGAAAATTTCCTGTTATGTGACATGGTTAGAGAATAGGGAATTTTGGTTCAAGCAAACACATTTTTGTACCTGAAAGTTTCCATATGTACCACACAAGATTTACCCTTTTTAGAAACTTCAACCCTTGTAAAATGTCCCTGATATTTAAGTCTTCATAAGCTAAATGTTCCATTTTATTTCACTGATGAAGAAAGCCATATAGGATTGGTCAGGGCCTCAGAATCAGCCTTGTCTTCATCATTATCTGCTATGCTACTAGCAGTGGGAAGAAGTGCAGAGGCTGCTGGAATAGAAGTTGGTAGGCACCAGGCTCCTGTAGATTAGATGGAGATCCTAGGCACACCACTTGGCTTCAGTATGCCTTCATTTCCACATAGACAAAATATGGGGTTAGACTACGTGATTTCAAAGGGCCAACATTTTTTTTTCTGAGACTGAGGATGGAAGGGCTACCCAAATTCTTAGCTTTCCTTGCAATTTTTTAAAGTGCTTCATTTGTTCCCTCCCTCATCATCAACCACCACTCCTGTTCATTCTGCATGACTGAAAAGAGTTTTCCCAATGGAGGTGGCAGCCAAAGCTCTGCTTTGGCTGGCCATCTCTTGGGATCACTTAGTCTCCAGAAGTAGCAAGAGTAGAAGATTAACAGACACTCTTATTTTGTTTCCCCCTGCAGCTGGTGGCTTCCATTGTGTTTATCAGCTTTGGTGTGATTGCAGCTTTCTGTTGTGCCATAGTTGATGGGGTCTTTGCTGCCAGACACATTGTAAGTATTATTAGCTCTGGACTGAAGTAAATCTGCAGTACAGCAAGGCTCTGTTGAATATGTTCTGGATACTCAGTGCTGCACTGAGCGCTCTGAGTGGTACACGTGAGAGAAAATACAGGGTCTCTTTTCTGAAGAGCTGACAGGATGTGAACATGGTTGGATGCACAGGCATCTAGAATACTGGGTCTTAGCTGGAGGTACAAATCCAGGTTCCATAATGGTCTACATTAGACTGCAGTGGTCAGGGAAGGCTTCTCAGTGGTAGTAGGACTAGAGTTAGACCTTTGACATGGAAGATTTGGAAAGGGAAAACCATGGACCTGGGAGCCAGAGGAATAGCTTGGTCCTAGAGTTGTGGGTAGGGAGAGAGCAACAGGAAGCCATATGACTTCCTGAGGGCATTGAAGGTTTTTATGGATGACTTTCCCTTCAACAACAGCAAGAGCGTATCAAGGGGACAGAGTCACATTTTCTCATTTGTCCAAGCTTTGCTGTTCCTACAATAGTAGTAATGTGATTGGGGATATGAAGAAAGCCCAAAACCAAAACCCTTTGTTCAGAGACTAGTCCTGCATTTCTGGTGGATTCCTGCTCTGGAGAAGTTGTCCCTTGAGTAAAGGACCACTGTGCCTCTGAGTTCCAAACCTGTGCTTCTTTTCTAGAGAAGACCGGGACACACGTGTATTCCTATTTGACTCTTTATAAGAGCCCTTGCCCTATTTTCAGCACTGTCAGGTTCACACTATTCTAGGCTGCTGGCCCAGGGCGAACTCCTCCATTAAGCGTGATAAACACAGTGCCTACGACCAATTGTACTTTCAGGGGGTTCCACAAATATATTAGCATTTCTTTTTGAAGAAGAAGAAAGAATGATGAACTTTTAGGTTGAAAAAAGCTTTAGGCTATAACATAAATATATTAGTCTTTATATCAATGAAGTCATACGATATAATTAAAACAAATTTAGTAGGTAATGGAAGAAGAAGGTTCAAAAGCCTAGGGCTTATGGAATCATAAAGTAATGCTGATCTAGCCCACAGACCAAAATCAAGAGAGAGTCACAGTAATTTACTAAGTTCCCGCAATAAATTCAGTCACTATTTTCAGTTGAAACTATCTTGAAAATGAAAATATCTCATAAAATTTTGAAATTGTTTCCTAAAATAATTGAATTAGAGCGAAACTGTATTATCAGAATGTCTGTGGGTTGAATGATGTTTTATTCTATTGTAATCACTGGCTAATTGTTAAGGTCCCGAGGGAGTATCATGGGTATGGTTGGATCTGGGTCAGGATGATTTGAGACATCATTATTTCAATTCCAACTCCTTCTCAGACCTCCCTCTGGGCTGAAGTGTCAGTATCTCATTTGTTAATGTTAAAGGAACCTGTGTGATCAGTGCTCTCACCCAAACAGTCTCTAAAACGGCATCTCAGGAAATAATTTCTGGACAGGGGATAAATAAGAGACTTTTTGCCTGATTTTCTTTCAAGACCTAAGATATAAATCTAAGCCCTCCTATGAGACCTATCCCTTCTGATTTCACTGAGAGCAGTCATTTTCCTCCATATTTTCTGCTTAAAAGAACAAATGACAACAGTAACTCTTCACATCCACAACTCTACTGCCTATAGCAATTCTACGTAGCAATTCTTACTGTTTATGCATATTGCTCCATGATTACATATATTATTCCATGCCTATTTTTCTAACATGGTTGCAGTCAATCATAATATGCATACAACTTTGTATTTGGGAAGAGCCATCCTTTTTTGTCAGTATTGGGCATCAAAGTCAGGGCCTTACATGTGCTAGGCAAGTGCTCTATCACTGAGCCACACCCTCAGCCCTTTCATATCTTGAGACAGTACCTTGCTAAGTTATTTAGGCTATTCTTGAATTTGTGATCCTCCTGCCTCAGCTTCCAAGTAGCTGGGATTGCAGGCATGTGCCAGCATGCCGGGCCACAAGAGCCATCTTAATAACACTGATTACTTGTTTTGTGTAGTGCATTTAGCTTCTCAGTGTGCCTTCATATCTGTTATCTCATTTGAGGCCCACAGCAGTCCTGTGAGATATATAGGGCAGCCACTATTATCTATGTTTGACAAGCAATGTTCACTCTGAGGCAGTCTCCATGGCAACATAGGCCCAGTGGCTAAGAAGCCTGCAGTAGATTTTAATGGCCTCATGAACTAAAATGGCTTCCTTCTTTCCCTCCTGTTTTTTTTAAACAACTTTATTGAGATATAGTTCATACCATGTATAACCTACTCAGTTAGATTTTTTTCAGTAGTTTTTGTTATATTTACAATTATATGCAATCATCATCATAGTCAGTTGTACATTTTCATCATCTCAAAAAGAAATCCCATGCCCTTTTCATATCGATCGCCTCCCTTTTCTCCCACCCTCTCCATCTCTAAGCAACCACTAATTTATTTTATTTTGCTAAAAATAGCCTTATTCTAGACATTTAATTTCAATGTTATAATATGTGCTCTTGTGTGATTTCTTTCACTTAACATTAATGTTCTCAAGTTTCACCCATGCAATAGCAAGTATCAGTGCTTCAATCCTTTTTATGACCTTTGTGGAAATATGTCACATTTTGTTTGTCCATTCACCAGTTGTATTGTTTCTATCTTTTTGCTATTATGGATAATTCCTCTATAAACTCTTATTACAGGTTTCTGGACATATATTTTCATTTCCACTTCGTTTTCACCAGGGAGTAGAATTGCTAAGATATGATAACTATTTCTAATTGTTTGAGGAACTCTTAGGCTGTATTCTAAACTGGTTGCACTATTTTATATTTTCTTCAGCATTGTGTGACAATTCTGATACAATCTCACCATTATTCTCATTGTTTTTTCTGGTGCCAGGGATAGAATTCAGGACCTTGTGCTTGTGAGTCAGACCCTGTGCCAATGAACTAAATCCTCGGCCCTCAATTATCTAAAATTTTGAGTCTAGTGGGTCTAGTTGCATCTAGCCATCCTAGTGGCTATGAATCAGTATCTCACAGTTTTAGTTTGTATCTCCATGACACTCCTAACATTTTTTATCATTAGCTTCAGTGAAAGGCAATGGCAGAAATCCAAATTTTGCTTATTTTCCTGTTATGACCACCTCCTTGCCCCTGAGTCTAGGCCCTCTGTATGTCCTGCATTAGTGACTTGCACTACAGTATTTGATTCAGGGACTTGGGGTAAGGCTAGATTAATCTTTAAGAAATGTTTCTGTTTACACTGTACCCACCCTAAGACTTCTGGCAGTCTTCACTGACACCCAGGGATTTAAGGAAGAAGGCTTTGTTAATCTATGGTGACATTTGTTAAACAACTTACATGAAAGGCACAGTTGGATCCTAGTACAGCTTCGGTGGGTTAGAGTCAGCCTGTTCTGTTATTGAGGTCCTGTAATATCACTGTGCCCTGTTCCTTTGGCCTTGAGTGAACCTGAACTTCCTCTCAAGACCTAATCTCTTACATATTCCCCTATATGTGTCTCATTTCTTCTTGTTCTGGTCTTGTACTTCCTTCCTTCCTGTTCTCCCTACTACGGCTATTAACTAGCTAGGAAAGTAATTTTACTTTCTTGTTCTAGGGTTTCTTTCTCTTCCAAATATATAGAATAGTAATTTACTTTTCAGCATTCGAGTGTGGATGCAGTCCAATAATGGGTATAATGTACCCTGAGAGGCCCTGGAACATTGAATATGAAGCAGTTTCCCTTTCCATCTCTTCTTACTAAAGTTGATGGCCCTGTCAGGCAAGAAAGGTAAAAAATCTTGGCTGAATGACCTTTTCTCACCTCCCAATTACCTGTTCTTGCTCCTTTTCTGGGTAGTAATGAAGAATAGCAGCCAGAAGGAGCAAATGGGCTATCATCACAGATGTCTGTCTTCATTTAAGGAAGTTGGTGGATGAATGCTTTTTCCAAAACCGGGTATGGTGGCACAAGCATGTAATCCCAGTATTCTGCAGGCTGAGGCAGGAGGTCTTCTTGAGTTTGAGGCCAACTGTGGCTACATAGTAAGTTCAAGTCCAGCCTGAACTACATAGCAAGACCCTGTCTTTAAAAAAATTACAAAACAAAAACAAAAACAAAAATCCCAGGAAGGTTGGGAGAACTATGACCAGCATATCAAGCCTCTTTTCTAGCAAGGTGGTAATAACTCTGCTTTCCCCCCAAATGGAAAATAAACCTTGTCAGCTATGAGTATGAGAACCCTCTCCTTTCTAGCCTGACTCCAGGCTGAACTAACAGGGCAATGTACTTGCAGAACATTGAACAACCAGGAGGCTCAAAGAAAGAAGTAGTGGATGGAAAGTCGTAGGTCCTTGATGGGGGCACTGGCTAGAGGCAAAAGGCCCTTGGATGTTTAGTACAGGAAATTCTCAGTCACATGTGTGAGGGAGAAAAAGTACCCACAAGGATTGGAAATGGCAAGTGAAGACAGAAAGAAGAGGCCAAAATTCAATTCCCTCTGCCTGGGTTCTTGACCAAACCCCTAAGGTGAGTTTGCATAAACTATTGTTCTGCCCCAACCTGCCTTTGGCAGAAGCCCCCTACCTGAAGGTGAATTGTATCCCCTAGTTACAGGTTTCCTGGCAGCCCTGGTTTGTGTCTTAGTTCTTCCCCAAACACATGCTGAAAGTTCCCTCACCAGGAAGCTGGCTAAACCAGTAGGGTAAATCAACTGTCCTTGAGCTGCCTGCTAGTTTTCTGGGCATTAGTAGTCTTTTTGGAGCTAACTGGCTATATCTAATCTGTGTAGGTGAGTAAAAATGGCTCCTAGTTCAGTTGAATTAAAATCCACATCACTCTCAGAGCCGCCCTTCCTCCAAGGGCTTGAATCCTGAGCTCTCGCTCAGGAAAAAGCTGTGGAAAGGACAGCAGGGAGTATAAGTCAGCTAGCTCTAGTGCTGTCCCCAGGTGATAATGAGACCTCATTGTTGGAGCTGTGTTCACAGCACCTGGGACTTTAAATCATGTTGCCTGGGGACTGTTTGCAAGAAGACAAAGACTAGAAGTAAAAGAAAACCAGAAAGGAAATTTCAAGAAACTAATTTCTCAAATCAGTTTCCTAATTTCTCATTAACCAAGTAACCCCATATAAAGCAGTTATCAAACACTGTTGTCTGATCTTTACATTGTCAGACTCCCTAGATGGGCAACTTTTAGAAATTAACCTAACTCACTGCCTGCTCTGGTGTTTGTGTGTACAAATATTTTAAATCCTGCTGTTTTATTTTTCCAAAGCCGAAATCCTATTGGTTTGGTCTTTCCCTTACCAGGATCTGAAACCACTCTATGCTAACCGGTGTCACTATGTCCCGAAAACGTCTCAGAAGGAAGCTGAGGAGGTGAGCCAGAATGAGCAGAATGTCTTTACTCCTAAGGAAGTCTCCTGTTTTACCTGAAACCTCATTTCTTTTGCTCTTTTTATGTGTCTAAGGTTTACTTTGAGGTGTCTTTAACAGATTCGTTCAGTGGGTCAGCACACAATACTATGTAATTCATAGGCTGGAACATCATGATACCTGATCAGATTTATCTTGTTCTGAGGTCACAGGCTGCCCCTAGAACCCCACTCAGAAGCCTTTCAGTATATGGCTGTGATTCCAAGAGGGACAAAAGAGAGGTCATAGGGCCAAGCCCGCCCCCATCTTTGTGATCTTGGTGGATGATGACTTAGTTGCCTGGACTTGGTGCCTGGCTAGAAGAAAGATGGGAGCCCCACCACACACTAGGTCTGGATTAAGGATGGAGAGCCTGACCTATAAACATGGGAAGACTGAGGCTAGATTAGTGTAACTGACCAGTCTGGTCTGCCTGAAGACTCTAGAGAGGTCAACTGTCAGCCTAGTTCCTCTCATGACAACCCCAGGAGGCCAGCCTAATTATGCTTGAGTAGGCACATAAGGGTATCTCTTTCCTGCCCACATATCTCTCCTGCTTCATGTTACCTCTGACAGAATGGGAGGCAATGGGCAGGGGCAGCAGGTCATTTTTGGAGAGCTTTCATTTCAGTACACCATAATTCCTCCCCAACCCAGGGAGTCCTTCACATGAAACTCTACCTGTGTTTCCAGGAACCTTGACAGTTTATTCCTCTATGAACCTCATGTTGAAAGTCAGCCTGGTCTCAGAATAGAAAAATGACAAACTTGTGATTGGGAAGAGAAAAGGAAAGCAAGTGAAGGCAAAACGGCACAGGAAGCCACTGTATTGCATAACTTCAGGGGAAGCCATTTTATATAAAATACAATGTGAATGGTGTGCTTGGAGTTGAGAAGAGTGATAGTCCTACTCTTGAGATAACATAGCAAACACTTTTATTTTGTTTTTTGGTACTGGGGATCGAACTTGGGACCTTGCACTTGCAAGGCAGGTGGTGGCACCACTGAACTACATCCCTGGCCCAGCAAACACTTTTATTATGGGTCTTCTATCCACTTGCCTCCTTTTTGCTATACCAACCACAAATGTACCATTTTTCTAACTATTCTTTGGTTAGAAAGGAAGAATAGAAATGTATATGTACTAACAGCTAATCAGAAAGGCTGTGAACATTTAGATGAAGGACCCAGTATAGAAAAGAGTGTCTATTTACTGTGAATATTCTCAACAGCAAACCAAAACAAACGCAAACACTTCATTGCATTCGTATCAGGGAGGGAGCTTGGAAATTTCCTTTCCAACGAGAGTGATGGTGAATGGAATTTTTTTCAGTTTTAAAAATATTTTGCCAACTCAAAATGTTTTAAATGTTATTGCTGTTCTCTTGATTTCATTGTGGTGGCTTTCTTGTGTTAATCTGGTGACTGTAAAAATGGCAATGACTTCCACAGGTTCACTTATAACTTGCACTTGTAACCTTGGACACCCTAACCCTATTTTTCCTATGTAAGGTCATAAGTTCCTCAGCCAAAAATTCTCCTTCCACGAGGGTTATGAGGAACCTTACCCAGTCAGCTAGAGAGGTATTATTGTACTTCAGAGTGCATGTGATGGCCCCTCTGTCTTCCTTCTCACCTGTTCTTCTCTCCTGCTGTTTCCCAATTTCCCCTCCCCTGATGACCTAGTGTTCATTTGTGCTTCCATCTGTCCGTCCACTCATCCTTTCTCCTCTCCATCTCCACCCTTCAGGGATGGGGCACTGAGGGCTATGGCTGAGGCTGAACACAAGTGCAGCTACACAGTGACTTGCGTCATACACTACTTTGGCCACCTCCCTGCCCAGTTCCATCCCTCTCATATGCGGGTGTGTTCATTTCACAGCCACCGTTACTGTCTTCATCAGTCACTAACTTGCATTTCCAATCTCAGAGGGTCCTTCCTCCCACTCACCACTAGCTCATCTCTCCAACTGTTCTGTACCCTAGGTGAATTGCCCTCACCTCAGCCGTGGATTCTGCACACCTCGAATCCGGGGTAACACCTGCTTCTGTTGTGACCTCTACAACTGTGGCAAGTAAGTGTTGAGCTGAAAGAAGAATGGCTTGATTACAGTGGAGACCAGAAGAGCCAAGGGCGGTGATGGGTGTATGGTAGGGGTTAGAGAAGTAGAACACATTTTTCTTTAAAGGGATTTCACTCAATAGCTATTGCCTGCCTTCTCTGTGCCGGGAATCATGCCATGTATTTTCACATACCATAAGTCTGTGAACTTTCACAGGTGTACTGCATTAAGACTCAGTTTGTCAGCCTATGAACATTGTCCCAGAATGGAGCTCATTTCATTTGTAAGTTGGGGACTTACTGTACTTGATCTCATTTAATTTTTACCTATGAGATATGCAGAACTGTCCCCATTTTATAGATGAGAAGAATGAAGCTCAGAGGAAAGAGACAACTGCCCGAGGTCACTCAGAATTTGAAGATGGTAGATGTAGGAGTGAAAGCCACTTCTGTCTGTGTCCAAAATCAGCAACATTCAACAAAGCAGTTATAGAGCACCTTCTTTGTGCCTGGCCCTGTTTTAGGCCACAACAAACAAAAGTTCTTGCCACATATAGCCTATGTTCTAATAGGAGAGACAGTCAAACCCTATCTATCTATCTATCTATCATCTATCTATCTATCTATCTATCTATCTATCTATCTATCTATCTAACCTATCTATCTATCTATCTATCTATCTATCTATCTATCTATCTATCTATCATCTATCTATCTTCAGGTAGTGATTAGAGCCCTGAAGCAAAGTTAAGCTGGAGAGGTAAACAGGTATTGATGAAGATGTGTGTGTGCGTGTGTGTGTGTGTGTGTGTGTGTGTGTGTGTGTGTGTGTGTGTTAGAATAGATAGCTAGGGAAAGGGAGAAAACATTGTACAGATACCCAAATACAATGAGAGGGCAGCCCAAATACTGGATAGTTAGGGAAAGAGTGATTCAAGTAGAGATAACATCAAAAGGTCCTGAAGCAGAACAGGGTTTGTGCTAATTCTGGTATAACCCTTCAATTGCTGAAATATCATTTATTCTTTCTCTCAAAACGTATTTAAGTATTGGGAATATCAAGATTGTCACTGGGAAGCTCACATAGTAGTAGAGCAGACAGACATATGAATAATCAAGAGCAATGTAAGGTGATGAGTGATGAGTGCAGTGGGGACTGTCAGCCTCAGTGAATGACAGTCAGAGTCCACAGGGGAATGTGAGTGCCAAGGAGGAGGTCATGTGGAAACCGAGGCATAAAAGATAGGTAAGAAGTTAGGAGACAAACCAACAGGAGGTGGAAGTATGATGATGTGCTTGAGAATTGTCTGGAGATGAGGAGTAGGAGGAGTTACAGAAGGTGCGAGAGGAGGTGAGGCAGAGCTGTGTCCAGAGGTCAGATGGTGGACAGTCTATTTGCCTTAAGAATGTCTTTGGACGTGATAACCTAGGCAGCTAGGCACCATTGAAGGGTACGGCATAAAGGATAGACTTGACTAGTTAAAATTGAATTACTTAGGGGGCCATAGCAATAATTCAGGCCATATAGAGTGAAGACTAGATTAAGGTGCTTTTGGGGTCATAGAAAGCAGAAAATCTTTAAAAACTATTTAGAAGGTGGAATTGATAAATATGTGTGAGGAGATGCTGCAGAGTATGAGAGGACCCCCCCCACACACACACACGGGGAATCATCACCCAGTGCTTCCCCGTGCACATATTTTTTTTCAGACTCAGTGCAGGACAGTCAAGGCCAAGGGAGAGAGGGAGTAAAGGAGGGACTGGCCAAGGGGGCTGGATGCAACTAGAGCCAGCCTCTTCCTCTCATGTATTCCCTACTCTTGGTATTTAGGGTCCAGGTTCTCTGGTGTGAGAATTAAGACCTAACAGGCTAGAAGTGAGGAAAAGGGGCAGGAAGAATTCATCCAGCCCTTTACATTCTTTGCTAACACCAGTAGCGTTTCATTTGAAAGGTTTGGCCATGAAGGAAAAGAAATTTAGACTCAAATGAGCTTTAGGGATCATCTAGGTTTCAATTATTCATCTTTTAATAACTAACACTTGCAAGGGACTTCCCTCCTTAGTAGTGATGATTGAGAACTGGCTATGATTATACTTCCTGAGCCCATACTTCCAAAAATGATCAAAGGGATATAAAATAGGTCCTAAGGGAGTTGAGGTTGTACATCAACTACCTTTTCTTTTACTTCCTTGTATCCCTCCCTCACGTGTTCCACCTTTCCCTCTTTTTATGTCCTCCCTCATCTACCCCTTCTTCTGTCATCTTACTTTTCTCCTTGCTGCTCTCATCTCACCTGTCTCCCTCTTCATTCCTATTTCTTGACCTCCTAGGGTAGAGGCTGAAAGCTGACTGGAGTTGGGCTTGAGATTTGGAGGAGAGAAGAGGCCCACAGAGAGAGCTAAAAGTGATTCCTTGCAGACACATTTTTCTTTTGGCAATGGGTGTGTTTCTGTAAAAAGATTGAGTATATCAAATACTAAATTGCATGTAGCTCAGCCCTCAGGTGAAATATATTTTCTTGTTTTGAGAGCGGAGGCTCAAACCCAGTTTATCTTCCTATCAACCTGAACTTCATAATAACCATCTTACTTTCTTTTTTTTTTTTTGGTACTGGGGATTGAACTCGGGTCCTTGCGCTTGCAAGGCAGGCCACCGAACCACTGAGCTAAATGCTCGGCCCCACCATCTTACTTTCTTTAAGCAAGTTACCCCAGTGTTGAAATTAATAAAAGGATATTACGAGGAGCTGTGTTAAACTATGGGCTCCCAAAGGATAGGAAACATGATTTAATCTTATCTGGATCCCCTGACTCCATCTCAGGGCTGATAAAGAGGGAGTGATATTTGGCAAAAAGGAACTAAAAGAGCTTTCTTCTCACCAGAAAAGTAAAATATTGGACTAGGCAACTGGTAGAGGTCTTGGAAACACTGCTCTTTAAGACCTTTAACCTATAAATGGCTTTTGCCTACTTCAAGCCTGGAGACCAGTCCGAGGCATCTGTAAATGTCCTTTCCCTAGTCTGCAGTGCCAAGATTCCACAGGCAAAGTCAAAAGAAAAGGATTTGCTTAGCTTTCCCTCAGGTCATAAACCCAGGCCGTGGGACTGAAGAGGGGCTGGTCCCATAATGGAGGGAAAAGTTTTTCCTTGACCCAAGGCTTTTTCCAGTCAGAGCCAATGAGACCTAAATACAAGAATCAAATATAGCTAACAGCAAGCATTCTGAGGCTTGGAGACTTTAATTTTGCCGAATGCGTATTTGTTTTCCTCACATAAAGCCTATTTTTAATCAATTGCCAGCTCTTTCAGTCCATTTCCTGGAAAGGAGGCCAAGAAAAAAAGTGGGAACAAAACATCAGGCAGTCACTTGTACAGTGCTACAGAAACAGAGTTTCTACGGTCCCCTCGAATCCACAGACCTTCTTTGACATCAGGGGCAGTGAGGTTTTAATGCCAAACACAGATTATACCATTTAGTTTTGTGCAGGAAGGTGGCTTTCTCTAAAGCACAGCTCCTCCGTGGCTGCCTTTCAGAGAATCTTTAGCAATCATCTACTCACTCATCTTTGGAGAGGTCAAGTCAATATCACTGGTTTTCAGTGTGTGGCCTAAAGGAAATGAAAGGAAATGGGGTGGTTTGTGAACTGCTTCCACCAGTAATAAAAATGAAAGTACACAGCTTACTTCCATTCATTACTTCATTTGATAAACTTTTATGAAGCACCCACTATGTGCCAGAGATATTCTAAAAGCATAGGTATCAACCAGACATAGTAGTTTTGTCCTTAAGGAACTAAATTTAGCAGGTGCATTATAGGGGAGGGGAACTTAAAGAATGTACAGAGTACATGCTACGGAAGAGAGCTGCACAGCAGTGATACCTTACCACTGCCTACCCACCAAGAATTGTTGAGTGGTTCTAGGCCCCCACTGAAAAGTAGAGGGCGCCTTCCTGCCTTATCCAAGATCTGCTTCCTCCTCCTTTGTCAAATGGGGACTGAAAGACAGAGAGGTTACATTTCTCCAGGCCCACCCACCAAGTTGACAGCCAGGAGGTGGAGGCCAAATTAGGCAATCAATTATCAATGCAACAATCAGCCTTTACACTCAGTTACTCATTCACTGAGTATTTACCTATGATCTTTAACACTTCTACCACTCAGCTAGGCAGTGAGAGAGACACAATTGGGAGCCATGGAAAGGTTTTGATTAAGTGAATGGCATAGTTGAGGAAGTGTTTAGGGAAGAGCAATCAGACAACAGTAGGGTCTCCAGGGGGCCTGGCAGCCTTGGATGCATGAAGGTTGGGGTAGTGAGAAGGCAAAAGATGCAGTTTTAGAGGAAACTACCCAAAGAGTGGACCAGAAGGAATCATGAATCTCAGAAACAAACCGCATTAATTTGCTAAAACCCACACCATAGCTAAGTATTTTTCTATTGCTTTATGAGTCCTTTTAAAATTTTAAATAGCTGCTGAACCCAATCAAATTGAAATCAAACATATCTTCTCCAAAATTATTTATTTTCTTTGCAGTTCTGGGGATTGAACCCAGGGCTTCATGCAGGCTAACCAAGCCCTCTGCCATTGAGCCACACCCACAGCCCAACGTTATTAATTACTTTTACATGAATGACTCACCTAGTTCCATGTTGAGATCTACACCTTTAAAGCATTAATGCCTTTAATTAAGCACAGGATTACATTTTGAACAACGCTGCCGGATGGTGACTCTTAGAAGAGACAAGATGTAGCTACAACTTTTGTTGGGAGCTCTTATTATGGGCTGGAGTACTACTTTCATACATGTTCTCATTAAATCCTCCAGGCACCGAGAGGTTAAGAAAATTGTTTAGGGTCAGACAGCAAATAAGTGACAGAGCCAGGACTTGAATGCAGTTTAACTCCAGAGTCTGCTATGGCATGCCATCCGTCTGTTTATACTGCCAGTCCACCCTAATTGCTTTAGGAGGTAAGCAAAGATAATCTGAAGGATGTCAGAAGCAGACCTCCAG